TTTGTATGTCAGTGTAGACTTCTCATCACCTTCTGCTGATATATATACTTGGGAAATCCTTGTCTAGAATTATAATTATACTAGATTAACCTGTTTTAAGGTTGTTAGTATTCATTATCCTTTGTATCCCAGGATATGCTGCTAGTGTAATGATTAGTGGCTCAGAATGAAAAATCGACAAGCCAAGTTTGAATTTTAGTCAATTTATTACATTCATTTTCATACAGATACTGTTGGGAAATGTATGAATCCATGTTTCCTCCAGTTATGGGTTAAATAGTAGGGCAGATTGGTCTCTCTAACTATGGTTGGCAACTAGTTTAAGAGAAGGACAACTCTGAATTCAAATTGGCTCATATTGTAAAGTTTGACTGTTATTACGCTAGTTGACCATTACAATTGAGTAATGAGTTCAATCCTCATTGGGCAGCTCATACAAAATTTGCCATTAAATAAAACAAGGTTTGACAGTGCCATAAGATCAGCCACTTAAACCTCATCTGAAGTATGACTCTGCAAAACCTTAAATTCAAAACACACACATACACATTTGTATAAATTCAAAAAAACTTATGTTCTGACTTGTCTTTGTAGATATACCACTCGTCAAGAAAAGATAAATCTATTGAATTCATTAAGTAATACAAGCTGAAAACCCATCTTTATAAACATTTTTATTAATAAATGTAAGGGTGTACAATTAAAAAAAATATTTTTCATTTCACTAAAACATGTTAAACATGTCTTTCTTTTTCTCACTGAAAACAAATAACATTTCTGTCAGCTCTGTGTTTTCACTTAGTCAAAATGGAATGGTCCATTATTTATGAGGTATTGGCAGGGCGTAACGGTTGTGCAAACTAAGAAACTAACTAATGAAGGGAGGGAATAGATATTTTTCTTTAATTTAAATACACTACATATATACTTATCATTGCCTCCAAACAAATTTCAAACAGACTAGGTTGTTCGGAAAATAATGTCGGATTTTAGAATCAACTTTTATTCTTGAATTAATGTATTTAAACAGTGTTTAAATCTGTGAACATAGGAACCCTGAGCATCTGTATATTTTTGCCATCAATGTTCAAGGTTATTTATGCCTTTATGATAAAACTCTAAAGGTTTAGACACTAAGAAACTTGTGAATCTCTTTTTTGCAATGGAGTGTCATTTGGATTAAAAAAAAGAATTGTCAAAATGCTTGAAAAAGTGGTAGTCAGTGGGTAAGAGATCAGGGGAATATGGTGGATATTACAAAGTGAGTATCTGCAGTGCCATTCTGGCAACATGTGACCAATCCTTGTCATGAAGCAGTCGGACCATGTCGATTAAACAGCACCAGTCCTATTATGTTTAACCAAATGTGTATTTCATCCAGTTGCTGGCTGTAAACTTTGTCAGTGATGCTCCTGGCTATATTCCAGAAAACTTTGATGGATAAAACCAATGAGGGGGGAGACCAGATAGTTACCATAATCTTTTGCTGGTGCCATTTTTGGTGTTCAACTTGAGGGGTATATAATATTTTAAGTTAAATTCTGAAAGAGATTGTTATAAAATTAACAAAGAGGACACTTTAATCATGAGGAATATATTTTTGTACAATTATTATTATAATAATATAGAACACAAAAGGTTTATTCTAAAATCTGACATTATTTTCTGAACAACCTGGTGGACTCTCCTGTTGTGAACGATAAATGAGGGTCAGCATCGAATGGTGCTTTTTGTTTTACACTTATGCATCAGGCTATGGTGGAGGAAATCAGTTAAGGGAAAGACATATTTCATTTGTGCTTTCTTAAGTGTGTTACTAGCCCAGCTTTGCTACAGGTGACAAAGCCACACTGACAGATGAAATTTGTTAAAGTAGGATTTTGATGGTGTCTCTGCTTCAGAGCTTGATGAAGCTGATCACGGTGCTTCAGTCTACTGTCTTCAAAACCCTTTAATTTAAAGAAACACGTCTTACGCCACTCTTTTCGGTTTGATGCTTGGGCTTCCCAGGTTTTCAGATCAAAGTTGAGACATTTCAAGTTGTCCTTCAATTTGTCTTTGTAGTGTAAGAGTGGACATCCAACTGAATGCTTGGAGTTTGGTAGTTGTTCATGCAGCACCTTTTTGGGAAGCCTATGCACATCCATTTTCACAACATGACCAGCCAACCTAAATTGTATCTTTGCTAGAATGGTTTCAATGCCTTTGATGTTGTTACATTTCTTCAGTATTGCATTATTCTTGACCATGTCATCCCATTTTATATCGTATATGGCATGAAGACAGCACATATGAAAGGCGTCAAGTTGATTTATGTGCTTGCGGTACAGGGTCCAAGTTTCAGCACCAGAGAGAAGGGTTGAGAGAACGACTGATCTGTAAATGTTGATCTTTACTCAGAGACACAACATATATATATATATATATATTAAAATAAAGAGGAAAAACAGTAAGATTTATAATCCAGTGTTCTTATTAATTATTTTTATTTTTAAAAAACAGTGCTCAATACAATTCTGCAGAGCATAAATATTATAAATTTACTAATTTAAAAATATGGTTCCATTGCTACACAGGTATTACCATGTTTCAGAAACTAACAACTTCAAATTTAATTATAGAATTAAATTAAAATCCTTAGTAGTGATGGAACCATATTTTTAAACTAGTAAATTTATAATATCTATATATATATATATCTATCTATCTATCTCTCTCTCTCTCTCTATATATATATATATATATATATATATATATATATATATATATATATATAAAAATACTTTGGGGAGAATGGGTTCCTCACACAAAAAACAAGGACAAATTTCTATATAAACATATATCCACAAATCCTTGGTTTTTGAGTTATTAAGTTTAAAGAAAGCTTACAGTAGATGGTGCTGTGTTGCCATTGAGACGAGGCTACAGTTGCCATTTGTGGTTAGTCTGCCTTCAAAGTTTAATGTATAGTAGTGATTTAACTGAGAAGTGTTCCATTTAACAATGTCAGGATATTCAAATCATGAACAGGCTAATATGATTTTTATATATGACCGCGCGGATGGTATTGGACGTTTGACTGTATCAGATTGCATTTCCAGACCAAAGGCAGCCGAGTCATCCAACCTTTGTTGTTGTTTATCATCAAGTTGCTGAGACAGGATGCATGACACCACAAACTGTGGATCGAGAAAAACTGAGACCTCCTTGTAGATCCCGGTATCAGCACATGTCAAGTGGCCCTAGTATATCGCACATCTCATAGTCCCACATAGAGGGCACTTCAAGAACAACCCCTGTATTCACATCATGTGCAGAGTCTTTCACCCTCTGATCACTTGCCATTGAAGAACATTTACCAATGGTCTATTGCACAAACTGCTGATCCATTGCCTTTTCTGTCTTGTTATGGTGAGGCAGCATTTAGGACAGATGGAATAACAAATTTACACAACTAACATTTGTGGGCAGATAGGAATCTCCATAGTACAATACAAGCTAGACACCTCTTCACCTCTTAGAACAAAATGAAACATAACAAATATTATTTATGACCATTAAGGAATTGTATTCCTGATCAATCAAAATCCATAAACAGTTATATAGGCTAAACTACAACATGTTTGACAAGAAGACTCACACTACATCTTTTTGATCATAGTACATTTAGGTCTCAGTCAAATACTCCTGGATACCTACTGGACCCTATTCATAACATACTTGTTGATAACAACTATAATACACACACACACACATATATTTACTCAGAACTTAAAGATGGCGGTGTGCATGAAACTCTGAGTCAGACTACTGGTGAAGGATGTATATTTAGTAATATATACTTAATAAGTCTGTTATATTACATCAAGCACTGTTTTAATAACACCAAAACTAGTGGATATCTGTTTTTGAGTAGATGCTTCATTTATTTCATCTGCCAGTCTGTGCACTCAAGAAAATTTAATAAAGAAAATGTGCCCTTCAACAGGATTCCAAACTCGTTCACCTCTGCAGGAAGAAGCATTGTTTGATCCAGCATGCTTTGCTTTTCAAATACAAGTATTCACTAAAAGTAACATTTGAAGTCCTAAAAATATGTCAGATTAAAAAATAATGTATAAATATTTTTATTCAATACAGTCCTATAAAAATTCTTTAAAATTTATTTCTTGACTATTTCTTTTTTAAAAATTTTTTTTATTTTCCTTTTTTTCTTATGGTGTATTTATTGTAAAGTTAACAGGGACATTTCTCAGAGTTTTATGTGGGTCAGTCTGTTCAAAAAAATTTCACATATAAACAATAAGTCGTACACACAGACAACTGCCAATGTAATCCTGAAATTCTTTACTTGCATTTTAGTCACACAGCCATAAAATAGAGCTGTTCTTTATTTTTTTATTTTTATTTTTTTTTTTAAATGGCTGATGATTTAAAATAAAGAGAACTCTTTCCTAGTTCAACTTTTCATTCACTTTCCAACTATAATTCTGAATAAAACTAGAGATTACAACCACAAAGACATAATATTGAAGTGTAGGCTTACAAAACTAAAATGTACTATTATGCTAGTTTACTTGTCAGCAACATTTGATTAATGCATTCACTTTTTACAACTTATCAACCTATTGCAGGTTATTTGAAGCCACAAAATATTTTCAGCTTATAAGTTTTTTTTTTTTTTTTTTTTTTTTAAGATAATAATGATTTGGTGATACAACCCATAGCAGCATATCAACCTCTGAGGGTGATTTAATGCTGAAATCTAAATATTTTGTACACACTTTCTTTTTTTTTTTCTTTGGGCGAGGAGTTGATAATAATGGTTTTAGTGATACAAGTCTTACTAATTAACCCATAGCTGTGGGGGAAGTGGATTCATACCTTTTATCAAGGTTATTTGAACATAAGTGAATATAATGAACCCAATTGGAATTGGAACTCAGTTCTCTAATTAACAATTCTGAGCCACTATCCATTAATCTACCCACACATTCAAGCTTACAGCATCTGGTATTCCCAAGTGAACACCCATCTAGGTACTGACCAGGCTTAATGTTGCTTAACTTCGGTGATCATATGGCAACAGGTGTATTGATGTGATATGGTGGTAAGACAATATTTAAGTAATTTTGCAATTGAATTGTACTTATAAAATATCAAAAATCTTTTCCGGGACCTAAGTGTGGGATAAGTAATTAGTGAGGCTAGACTGATTGACTGTTACTAGTGAGTTTGGTTCTCATTGGGTGCTTCATGCAAAAATTCAATATTAAATATCTGTACAAGGGTTGACATGCTGTATAACCACCCAATTACAAAAGAACCACCTTCAATGCTCCACTCCAGGTTTTCTGTCTAGATTTATTCCCATAGCCTTTTTCATATTTGGATATGATTGCAAGACAGTGGAGGTTTAAAATAGGGGGGGGGTCTTCCTTCCCCTAGATGGACTGCCTTCCTTCCCCTAGATGGACTGCCTTCCTTCCTCTAGATGGACTGCCTTCCTAAGCTGTTGAGCCCATCTATCCAAAGTGGCTGCTTATGAAGCACCAATTGTCCACCATTGCCTATTCTCCAGCTTCAAGCTGTATTTTGTTGTCAGAATGTGTTTGAGATGCATACTACAGAAGCCTTTTATTGGCTATCACCCTTGACTATGGTAACCTTCAGAATATATATATATATATATATATATATATATATATATATATATATATATATATATATATATATATATTTTAGAAGCTCTCCAAAAAATTAATGTTTTTTAAATATATTAAAATGTTAGATAAACAAAAACATTAGAAAGGAAGTTAAATTACAAAATACTTGTACATCAATAAACAAAATCGTTTGGACTGACGCACAAGGGGATACAATTCATTTCAGTGACGAGTCCAAGTTTACTATATTTGATTCTGAGGGCAAAACTTATGTATGCCATAGAACAGGTAAAAGACTGTCTTCTCAATGTGTCAAGAAAACCGTTAAGTTTGGTGGCGGCATTGTGATGGTGTGGGGAATGATTTCATCTGCAGGAGTTGGCCCTATCATCCGCCTACATGGCAATATCAATGCTTAGATTTACAAAAGGCTTCTTCAGCAACATGTGATACCAAGATTACACCATAATCTTTATGAATCTCCTATTTTCATGCAGGACAATGCACCTTGCCACATGGCTCAGAAGGTTGTGGCTTTATTTGAAGAAGGAATCGCCCTAATAAAGTGGCCAGCCCAGAGCACCGACCTGAATCCAATAGAAAATGTTTGGAAGATAATTGGAGAAAGGGCTCAGAAAAGAAACCCGTAAAACCAGGATCACCTATGGGAGTTATTGAAAGACGAATGGGAGGAAATTACTGCTGATTTTTGCAAGAAATTAATTAGATCATGTGGTTGATGATGCAGAGAAGTCATTGAAAATAAGGGATGTTTACCAAATATTAAATTTTGTTGATATTTTGTTCACAATCAAGTATTAACAAGATCGTTCCTTAACTTTTGTCCAGTAGCTTATTTCCTTTGTTCCATTTAATCTTTATTTAAAAAAAACAAAAAAACTATTATGTAAATTTTTGTAACTTTGTATAATATTTATGCATTACACCTGGATCTTTATTCAGTAAAATTTAATTGTTAATCATGCATTACTTTTTAAGTAATACACATATTTATGTCTTTGTTGTTTCTGTTCCTTATATTATGGTGGCTACTGCATATTCTCAAGAGTGCTGATATCAAATCTCACCTTTCCTGAAAGAATTATTAACTTTCCCAAGCCAACATGAACAATCACAAAAATGTTAAAAAATCAAAAGAAAATGGTTAGATCCATTATCTTTTGGAGATGTATGGCACATACATCTATCCCAAACCTTACTTTTGTCTTAGATGTTGAATAATTGCACTTTGTGTCCTACACATGTTTTGACTGACCTTTCAACCACCTGATGAATATTCATGAATGTTCACAAATTGAAAAGCCAATGACATCCTTGCTCCTGTATATAAATGCATACATCAAAATAAATCCTACATTTGTTTTGATAAAGTTACTCAGAGGATGAAATTCATTTAAGAATAGTTTTTCCTCTTGTCTTTTTATTCATATATATATGCACACACAATGCGATGGATAAATTGTCATCTAAATTATGCAAAAATAAAAATAACACTGACATCTCATTTTAACAAATATATTTACCAAAATTAAACAAAAATATCTTGAAATACGAAAGAGTAAATTTACTCAATAAAATCACTATTGGCTTCAACCACAACCTTCAGATGACTTTGGAATCTCCTGCAACACACACACACACACACACACACACACACACACACATATGTGTGTGTGTTTTCAAGCAAAATTTTTGGAATCTTTTGATTTTGGATTCCAGAAATTTTGCTACGATGAAACAGAGCTTGATACTGTAATTCAATTTCATTTTTATGAATAAATTGAAGTTTTTACCTCCTGTTTTTGAAACCCGAGAACTCTTATGTAGCGAAGGAATCATATTTTTTTAAAAAAGTTATAATTTAGGCTCTATTTATGTATTGAGCACTGTTTTTTAAAAATAAAAACGTAAATATTAAAGAACTACAGATTATTAACCAAACGTGTTCTTTCCTATTTTTCTATATATTTACACACACACACACACACACACACACACATATATATATATATATATATATATATATATATATATATATATATGAGCATACTTGTATGGAAAATATATTCAATGCAATTGTGAAATTACTTAGATATGTCATAGTTTTTTGATGATAGAATTAATTTTTCGGATATTTTTTACTTCTAATGATTAAAGAATAAAAGTCTTTCTGACATGCAACAATCGAGTTAATTATATGTAATTATAATCCTTGGTTATTCATGCAGAAAATATAATAAGGACAATTGCAAAATTACTTAAATATGGCTGCTATATTTTTACCGCTATGGGCTATGTTAGCTTTCTTTAGATATTTTTAATTTTCATAATTTAAAAAGCAGATTTCTTTTTCACATGAGACAATAGAGTTAATTGTATAAGTGAAAATCTGAGGTTATTCACGCAGAAAAATATAATCAATGCAGTTGCATAAATATGGATGTTATTTTTTTTTTTATGGTAGAAATCAGGATAGCTTTCTTTGGATAATTTTACTTTTAATGTTTCAAAAGGTTGAATTCTTTCTACCATGTTAATTGTATAGATAAAAATCTGAGATGACTTGAAATCAATGCAGTTGTAAATTTCTTGAATCCGTCTATCATTTTTGATGATATGAGTAAATTTGACTAAAATGTAATAATGAAATTGAAATAATAGATACTTTAATGTATGATGCTTGAAACTTTATTCATTGTTAATGCTTTGGTATTTGAAATGCCTCTGTTCAAAACTTTAGAAAAATATCATCTAGTCATCCTTTTGTTCCTTGTTGAAATTTTTTATATTAGAGACATCAGATATATATGTGTACACACACACGCACAATCTAATAAAAAAATTACAGATCTGTCTTGAGTTGAATAAATATTATTTTTCCTATTGCAAAATTCACATAGACCTTTTTATATTTTCCTCCCTTAAAATGTCATGCATCAGCTTTAGTCTGTGTCCATCTTCAGGAATAACATAATTGACACCAAACTTATATATATTCCTACTTACACATACTAAACTGGACTAGTGTTATGTCTGTAAAAGCCTGTGTGGAAATGACTAAACAATATCTCTACCTCTAAAAAAAAAAAACAATTTTTTTTTTAAAACCTGTGAACTTTTTTTTTTTTTTTTTATTTCATCCCAAGCATGGTGACAATGTTACTAAGATGCAGAGTGAAAGTATTTAGTATTTTTAATTTGCACTTCTTGAGTTTAGGTACCAGTATTACCTTGTACCTTCAATTTTATCTTTTATTTTTTTTAAATCTGGAAGATGAAATGAAAATATCAATACTTGTCAATATTTCAGCAATCTTCCTTCACATTTTATTAATGCTGTTGTTTGAATGGTTTTCATTCTGCTTCAGACTTCCAAGTTTTACAAACTCTTTTTCGTAAATCTTTGGGACTTTTCCAAAAATGATGAGTACAACTGTTCTAGAATTTTTTTTTCTCAGTTCTTTCACAAAGTATGTATATTTTTTCAATATTTCATTTCATTTCAATCTTAGTCTGCCTGCTGAAACGGAAACATCCATTCTCTAACTTATGATTGTTTTTATTTCTTTTTTCTTATTCTTTTCTCTTCTTTTTCTCTCTTTCCTTTCTTTCTTTCCCTTGAATTTCTCTCCTTTCTTCCTTTCTTTTCTGTCTTTCTCTCCCTCTCCTTTCTCTCCCTTTCTCTCCCTCTCCTTTCTCTCCCTCTCTCTCTCTCTCCTTTCTCTCCCTCTCCTTTCTCTCCCTCTCCTTTCTCTCTCTCTCCTCTCCTTTCTCTCCGTCTCCCTCTCTTCTCTCTCTCTCTCTCCTTTCTCTCTCTCTCTCCTTTCTCTCTCTCTCCTTTCTCTCCTCTCCTTTCTCTCTCCTCTCCTCCCTCTCCTCTCCTTCCCTTTCTCTCCCTCTCCTTTCTCTCCTCTCCCCTTTCTCTCCCCTCTCCCTTTCTCTCCCTCTCCTTTCTCTCTCCTCTCCTTTTCTCCCTCTCCCTTTCTCCCCTCCCTTTCTCTCCCTCTCCCTTTCTCTCCCTTTCTCTCTCTCTTTTCTCTCTCTCTCCTTTCTCTCCTCTCTCCTTTCTCTCCCTTTCTCTCTCTCTCCTTTCTCTCCCTTTCTCTCTCTCTCCTTTCTCTCCCTTTCTCTCTCTCTCCTTTCTCTCCCTTTCTCTCTCTCCTTCTCTCCTTTCTCTCTCTCCTTTCTCTCCCTTTCTCTCTCTCCTTTCTCTCCTTTCTCTCTCTCTCCTTTCCCCCTTCTCTCTCTCTTTCTCTTTCTCCCTCTTTCTCCCTCTCTTTCTCTCTTTCTTTCCTCTCTTCTTTCTCCCCCTCTCCTTTCTGTCTTTCTCCCCCTCTCCTTTCTGTCTTTCTCCCCCTCTCCTTTCTGTCTCTCTTTCTCTTCTATACTCTTTAGTCTCTCACTTTACTAGACTTGCTCTCTCTTGAGAATACCTGTGTTCCAATGACAATTGGTACTGTACTTGATTTGACATTTTACATTCAATAACTCTGGGTATTCCATGACTATTATTTTTATTTTGATATATATCTTTATTAAATGTATAGATAAAACCAGCATGGACATATGAAGAATTTATTCCTGAAAGTAATCATAGGATTTCATTGCCAATTTTGAACATTCTTCTTCTTATTATCAGAAGAAACAATTTGATTTTCTTTCCATACCTTTTCCACTTTAACCATTTTGGTACGGGCAAAAAAAAGCCACTCCTTTGGGCCATTTGAAATGTACAATTGCTACTAAGTCCTAAACACAAAAGCAGATTGTACTTAATTTTGGCAGTGTAATTGTACATAGAAACTTTCTCAATGGTATGCAATTGAGAAAGTTTTAGTTGAATACATTTTGTCGCCTCTTGCTGACTGTAGGCTACTAGAAAAGGAAGATTGTTCACAGGGCAATGACTAAATGTAAATTGCCCTCATGTTTACATATAGAAGTAGGATTTGATGATTTCAAACAGTGGAATTTGAGTTTTAAAAAATTTTTTTTAAATTTCATTTTTTTTTTTTTTTTTATTCAATGTTTGATCACACAGAAAGGTATTGTCTGTGGTCAGGAACTAATGCAAACATTATTGATAAAATAGATTGTGTATAATTTATATAATTTATCCATAGATTCAAAGTGATTTACTCAGATTTTAAGTGAATATAGCGAAGAAAACTGCGACTTACCTCATCAAACCAAGTGACAACATTTTGCATGTATCCTATGATGGAAAATGTAGCAAAAAAGAAAATTACTTACCAAAAAAAAGGGGCATGTATTCCGCATGACATGCTGAAGACAGAATATTTTAGAAACAAGTCAGTCGCTATAAAAGTATTTTGATATGCAAAAATTGAGCATCCTCTCCCAGTTATCGACGAATGAAAAAATGCTCGGCCGATAAAAGCAAAAGAGAAAATAAAATTGGGGTATTTTGGCTACCATGTTTGTCAGAAAGTGAGTTATTTTTCTGATTAGTTACATGCATTGTGATTTGTACCTGCGAATCGAGTTTTCGGCATTTCTTTCTGCCCCCGATGTTTGAGTCTGAACTTAGAGTGATTTATTCTCTGCGTTGTGGAAGTAATCTGCGACAAATATTTCCTTTGCAATCCCAGATCACTTAAAGGGAATAAATGTTCGTTTTTTATAAAGACAAAGCTATTTTTAGAAAGAAAAATCAGGCCTGTGGAAATATGGCAAATAATTCAATTGTTATGCAAGTTACAAGATGTTTCGGCATTTATGATCTACCATTTATAAAATACTAGCGGTAGAGCCCAGCGTTCCCCAGGGATGTAACAGTAAGAGATAGATCAAGTATCGACCATCATAAAGACTGAAAAATAAAATTGACAAAGATTATTGTTTAAGATTGACAGACACACATGTCTTAATTAGTTTTTTTTTTTTTGTTTTGTTTTGTTTGTTTTTTTTTGTTTTTTTTTTTACGAATTGGTCAAACTCAAACAAAAACATTGTTTTCAATCGATTGAATAGAATTTTATTATAAACAATTGTCTTGTAAATGGAATTTTTAAAGCATTCTGAATGTAAATATAAAGAAAAAAGTGTGCAAGACAATAAGAAACACTACCTGCAAAAAAAAAAGTCAAGTTTTGTTGAAATAGGTTGAAAAATGTAGGAAATCCGATCCCATATATAAACAAACACACACACACAACCTGAGTTTTATAAGTATAACTCGATATGAGTTGTCCCCCTTTCATTCTCGTGATGCCTCTTAATCATGTTTTCAAATTGATTTCGTGCAAAAACAATTGCGTTTTTCCAATTTTTGGCGCTGTCAGAACCACCGCAAGGTAATTTTATGTAGTCCTATGAAGTTTTGTTGAAAAATGTAGGAAATCCAATCCAATATATAAACGTACAGACACACACACAAAATCTGCGTTTTATAATAAGTAAGATGGAATAATATTACATCTACTTCTATGTGGTTCAGTTTAGAATGAATCAGAAACACTGAAGAATAGTATGAGAATCGCCATAAGCATTCCAGATTTTGTTTAAACTACTTTATCATATTTCACCTCTGTCCTGAGGGGTAAGGCCACTCTCAAAAGAAGCCATTTTATGAGTGGATACTTGCAGATTCATGCATAAACCCAACCCATGTCTACTTTAGTGCAAATTGAACCCATGTCTCTCTTTTACACTGTGGTGCAAATTTGGTCGGTTATCTCCCCTTTATCTCTGTGCACTGCAAATTCTGATCACTGCCTGCCCCCTTATCTCTGTATGGTGCAGACTCTAACGATTGTCTGTCCCTTTCTAATTATTGTCTACATAGATAATGTGAGTCTGTGAGTGTGAGTGGCCATGGTTAGATGTAACTAAATAGCAGAACCGCCCAATAAACAGAATTGACAAAGTTTGTAATAAGCAATAAGAAAAAAAAAAAAGGGAAAGGACAAGGCCAAAAAAATAATATATGCAAGGGAAATAAACAGTAATAAGGCAAAGCAACAGTGACTAAGAATTGGGGCTGACACACAAGAGCAAGTTCGGACAAGCAAATGTAGTATTCTGACTTCAAGACGAGACAGACTGTGACCGAGTCAGATGAAACTGAGAACAGGCTTATTTCATTGGCTAAGAAGAAATCCCAGCATGCATTTGTGTACTTCTGCCTATAAATTGGGGAGGGGAAAGCGTTTTGCAGTCATTTCCCATGGGGATTGGAACTAAGATTATGATTTTTGTACTGTGAGATTAAATGACCTCAAGAAGTGTTGAAATGTTCTTAAATTCACTAACCTAACATTTCACTTGATCAACAAAATCAGAAGCACAAAGGAGATTAATTCTCTGAAGAAAATTTAAAATATTTTCATTTGACTTTTGACAATTTTGAAAATTGTTTGGTAGTTGAGATTGTTTTGTATCTGTTACTGGTATCAGTGATTTTTGTCTCCAAGTTTAAATCAAAAGTATTGTGTAAATACCAATTTACAAGGCAAACATCCAGGCTTTCCCCTCTCCACTGAAAATGTACTGTAGTAATCTACTAGTGCTGTACTAAGATTACTAAACCCCCAGAGACAATCTTTATTGTTCTGTTTAAAAAAAAAAGTAATTACTGTCCATTTGTTAATTACTGATAATTATTGTCTATGCAGTCGATGATTATTTTTAAATTGAGCTACCATGTCACAAACTAAAAAAAACTAGGTGTCACCAAGGTATCATTGCCTTGTGATTAAAAAATAAGACTGAAGGTCACCATGTTTTGAGGTCTGCAATTGATTTGCCTTTTGTATTTGACCTTTAATTTCACATATATATTTTCATATACTTTATATTCTTTTCATATTTCACTTTTCATATAAATTTCATATTTTCAAATATTTTCATATAAATTTCTTTTTTCATATAAATTTCGTATTTTCATATACTTTTCACATAAATTTCGTATTTTCATATACTTTTCACATAAATTTCGTATTTTCATATACTTTTCATATAAATTTCGTATTTTCATATATATATGAAGAGAAAGAGCTAGATAGCATTCAATCTTTTTTATGTATAAAAACATTGTTAAATTGTTTTCAATATGGTAAAAAATTTTCACATAAATTTCGAAAAATTTTTGTTAAGTTGTCGTATTTTCATATATATATGAAGAGAAAGAGCTAGATAGCATTCAAATTTTTTATATAGATATATCTTTAGGACCATTTTATTATTGAGCTAATTGTTTTATTCTAATAGCTTCTTTTCTAACCCTTCTGATTTCTTGCTTCCCTGCTAACTACAATCCTCAAAAATTTAAATGCAGCACCAATTGCCATCTTCTGTCTTTCTGAGGCTTGTTCTTTTATTGTCATTTCTCCTCACTAAAGTCTTCTCATTTTCTTTCACTTCCCTTGCGTCTTAGAGGAATTATCTCCTTGCTTGGTATGAAATGATTTAAAAGAAAACTTAGGAAGATGTTTATGGCAACACTTTTATTAAAAAAAAAATACATGTAATCATCCAGCCATTGTCTATCTGAAACCAATACAATCATTCCTTTTCAAGAATTATAAATTTCTTGTCTGTTTGAAAGTTGAGAACCAGTTCCAATTTGTTCAGTTTTATAGAGATGATCTTTTTGGATAGACCTTCTCAAACATCCTATTGAGTCATACCAGATAATTGTTAATGTCCTCTTCCATATGTTTTTTAAAGACTGATAAACAAGACAAAGGAAAACTAATAATCAATTAAACAATTTGCTCTGAACTTTCACCTATCATGATGGATTGGCGTTCACTCATGGAGGACTCAAGCTGACCCCAGACCTCAAGTGGAACTCCATATATAGAATCTATTGATAAAGATGCCGGAAAAATGATTGGTTCACTTTATTGCTCTTCCAGTGCTGCTAACATTTTTATTAAAAATTCTTGATAATACATACAGTTAACCATGGAATGAGATTTTCAATTTGCATATAATGTTGGAATGTACTGTATATAATGCAAGACTGTCCATAAAAACTTAATTGTAAATCATGGAGGAAGGATTTTTGAAAGATGCAAAATATAACAAACTTCAAGAGGTCTGTAAATCACATTAAGTTTTGGATGTTATCTTGCTTCTCAAATTGAGATTAACTACTTGATTTTTAGCTACACATTTTTATCCACTTATTTAATTTTAAAAAAAGGCACACTGCATTAGGTGAAGAGTTCTTCTAGAGAAAAGTAGGAAAAATATGAAAATCTACAAGTAGAATACCAAAAAAAAAAAACTTATATACTTCCTTTCAAAGTTATCTAATGAAAATTTTATCAACTCTATCTATATTCTCCTTTCTATTGTTGATATACAAAGAGGATCTAAGCAAGATCAAGCAAAGACTGCATCTATAAAGAACTGACATTCTCAAATTGTGACAAACAAACCAGCATAGCCTAGTGATATCATGGGGTATTTTTGTTGTATCTTTGAAAGTAGTAGTAATGATATTTAAATTCCCAAACTGTTTGTGATCCAATGATCATCTGATCAACAGTTTGTTGATGATACTGCTAGGTTTTTTTTTTTTTTTTTTTTTTTTTTTTTTTTTTTTTGCAATGGTTGCAGAAAATTCATAGGGTGTATTTAGGAAGCATTTTCTTCTTTTTTATTTACATAAGTTTAGTTAATGACCAACAAAAGTTCTTTGTTAGGATTGCCCAATATCTGAGTACTTTCACTTTCAAGCAATTATCAGAGGTTTTGTCAATGTGCTGAATATCTTTATATGCATTGTGTGTGTGTGTATATATATATATATATATATATATATATATATTGTATTTTTTGTGCTATATCAGGTTACTCTTTCAAGTGTAGCATATTCAGGTTTTTTTTTAAATTTTTTAGAAGTGTTATATCATATGGAACCTGTAAGAAACCGGATGTGGGACAGTTTATAAGAAAATTTTGATCAGGAATCAGAAAAATATGTCCTATCAATTAACCTGATTAACATTGCATTAAGTCTTCTTCCATTTAGGGTCTGCTAAAGATCTGTCACATTTTATATATATATATATATAAAATTCGCTTGAGGATGAAATGGAACTGTCTTTAATTTAATTACAAAATTAAATTTGGACCTTCCATTTTTGAAACATGGTTAGAACTGTGTAGTGGAAAAACCATATTTTAAATCAAGTAATTTATAATATATATATTACAATGAATCATTTATACAAAAAAGTAAATTAGTAACGTTAATGATATAGAATGGCGAAATCCCTTTGCTAACAAAATTTTAAAGATGCATCAACCCACTAATCACTCAATGAATGTCATGATCAAAAAAACAAGGATCATAATATTCATCGAGTTTAATGCATTTTTAAAATTTAGTTAGTGATGGTATTTTGCCATTTTATACCATTAACTTATTTACTTTTTGTATCAATGATTCTTTGTAATATAAATTAAACTGCACCACATATTTGAGATGTGTGTGTGTGTATATATATATATATATATATATATATATATATATATATATATATATATATATATATATATAAGTGTGTGTGTATACACAGTGTCCATAAATTATCTGTATAATTTTAAAAGTTCTTAAAAAATGAAAAAAATCAAGATAACTCTCCAGGCTTTATTGGAAAACATAAGTAAATATTTTTATGTAAACATATCAGAACACTTTCACATTGTCTCAATTTGTTCTCTTCAACACATCTAGACAATGCTCAATTTCTGTTCTCTACAAGATAGTTTCCATTTCCATAAACTTCTTGTGCCAGACATGGACGCGTGATTTTTTTGTTTTTAATACTTTGCACTGTAATTCTGCCAGACCAAGGGTCTGATTTGGTGTCTATGAACCAGGATATGCATTGTAATTTCTGTTGAGGTATTACCATTTTCATTAAAGCACAAGGATCAATAATAAGCACTTTTAACATCTACATGAAAAGACAAATGAAAGGAAAGTAAACAAAAAACAGACTATATATAAATTGACCACATTGACTACAGTCAGGATCATAGTCATTGTAAACTCCACAATCCTTTCATTAGCTGCAATAGTATATGATTCACCAGATCTTCATACAGTTTTAAATTCAGAGTTGTCTATTAGACTGGTTGCTACCCAAGGCTATAGGTTCCAGTCTGTCTTGCTATTTACCCATAGCTTAGAAAAGATGGATTCATACCTTTCCCAAAGTTATTTACATGTAAGTGACTGTAACAAACTTGATTGTGATTTGAACTTGGCTCTCTGATTCTTCAATCTGAGCCACTATCCATTACTTGGTCATGGTTCCACTTTAATAATATTTCTTTAACATGAACAGAAATGTATTGATGGTTTGTTACTCTAATGGCTACAATAAACTGTGAAAGTTGTACTGGTAATTTATAAACACACACACACACATATGTTTGCCAGATTTTGTCTGTCTCAGTCCCCTTTGAGCCACAAGAGGGAGGTGCTTCTGGCCAAGTGTGTGGGCTTCTCTATCTCGCAGAGTTGTCCACAGAAATCAAATTCACCTGAATGACCTAGTCACACTTGTAGCCATCTATGCAACCGCCACTAGTGGGGGAGAAAGGGAATAGGGAGAGAGGAGGACAATCCCAATGCTCGGTTGTGAGCAGGTTCTGACAACAATATGGGTGTGTGTGTTCAAAAATTTCCTCTGTAAATAAACAAATTTTTAAGGGTGAAGATGCTCCCTTCCTCCATTTTCCAACTCTTTAATTAAATATATATTTATCTTATTCCTTTCTGGCAATAACTTGATGTCTTATTTATCCTGCCATGTCTATGTCCTTAACTTATGCTGAACCATTGGGCTACAACTGACATATTACTCCCCCATCCCCGATCCCTCTCTACTGAAAGCAGCTGCAATAAGGCTTTGTTCAGTGAAATGCTGTGTTTATAATGTAAATGCCCACTCCCCCACCATACCATTTCCTCTATTCTTCCCCTGAGCTTTTAGAGAAAACTTCATCAAACAGCAGCTCACGTCCACATCATGGGGAATCACCGGTTCACATACGATCACTGAAGTAAGCAATGTTGAACCTGATCAGTACCTAAATGGGTGACCACTTGGGAATACCAGATGGTTGGATGTGTGGGTGGCGTAATGGATAATGGTTCAGAATTATTAATCGGAGAGTCAAGTTCCAATTTCATTTGGGTTTATATTCACTTGGATGCAAATACCCAAAAGAAAGATATGAATTCACCTTTTCACACCCAGATAGTAAAACTTGTATTACTAAAACCATTATTATCACCACCCTCCCCCCCTCAGCAAAAAAAAAATTGTATACAAAATATTTAGATTTAAATAACCCATGGTGGTGTTGATATACTGTTAAACAAAATCAACCAACCAATCCTCAAACAGCATCTGTTTGAAGCAGTCAGTATATTTTTGACTGCAGAATTTGTATTTTAAGAAAATAATTATAGTAAATGGGGCAATGAATTAACTGCTAATTGCTAAGAATACAATATGAAGTGGAAGAGTTATGTTATTGTAGATTTGTGTTTCATTTAGCCATCAGCTTCTCTACTCAGATTGGCCACGATGTCCTCAATAAACACTAAGTTTTCACAATTTGAGATACAAGTTCAAGTCATGATGGAAGCTAATTTTTATTTTACCTTGATATTATTTAACAGCTATTGAGTATCTGATGTTATAAAAAGCAATAAGATGAAGAAAAACAAAGAATTTATAATGCAAATTATATTTCATCCTATATTTTGAGCACAGTATTCTATACTATTCAGATGTGTGTTGTGGTATAATGGATATTGGCCCGGAGTGAGAACTTAGAGAACCAAGTTCAAATTCCAGTCAAGTTCATTAGATTCACTTACATATACCCTTGGGAAAGGTATGGATCCATCTCTTCTTCCCCCAGCTATGGGTTGAATAGCAGAACAAGTTAGTTTCTTTAGCCTTGGTTGTCAACAAGTTTACTGCAGAAAGAAATGGCAACCTACTGCAGGGGAAAAATCTGACTCGTCAGTCATGTATCGGAAAATACATGATCATCCATGCGTGTATCATGTGTGGCACCTAATTTACTGATTCTATACTACAGGCCTACTCATGGAACTGGGAACCTATTTCAGAGTCGTTTTGTTCCACTGTTAAAAATGAATGAAATGCTTGTTGGGCATCATAAAAAGATTTGAATGGAAAAATGAATTTTCTATATTGCTTTTTTAAAAAAAATTTTTTTATTAGAATGATGTTTGCCCTCTACAAGGCCTGAGGGCCACTCATGATAGAGTTTCAGTGTAAAAGGCACAGGTTATGCAGATGTGTGTAGAAGATAACGGTTAACCCTTGACTTAAACAGGTTAAGATTGTAGTGACTGAGAAAGCATCTTCTTGGGAGTTGGTTCCACAAAGCACCAGGTTGTGGGAAGAAGCTGATTGAGTAGAAGTTACATCTCCCCAAAGGAATGCAAAGGGAAAGAAAGGGTCCTGGTCATAAAGTGAGGGATACATTTTAGGTTCAGTTTGTGGTAGTTCACTGCTGTAATTGACTTAAGAAATTCAAAGTACTTTTTTACATCTGGAAAAACTTTATTCAATTGAAGTATAAGATTTATTTTCTTCAGACTGGCTATATTATTTATGCTGCAAAAACAAACTTTTTTGTACATAATTCACTAAAAAATGTAATTTAGGAATCTTAGTCTTATCACTTGCAAGTTAATTTAACATTTTTCACTTTAACAGTTAATTTGATATTCCTCTCAATGAAATTTTTATTCATAAAAGCAAATACACTAATAACAAACTTAAATTTTTTTTTGCTTAATTTGCATTTTTATTTGTAACAAGTAAAAAAACATGTTGAATTTTTATCACAGTTCTTATACTGTAACGTATCTTTTTACACCAGTCAGTTATGTGCCATGTGTGATACACGCTTAGGTGATCATGTATCTTTCAATACATGACTGACGAGGCAGATTTTTTTCCCGCAGTAGGTTGCCATTTCTTTCTGTGGGAGACCAGTTGCCATCCAAGACTATAGAACCTGGTCTGTTCTGCTATTTCCCCATAGCTGGGGGGTGAGAAGAAAAGGATTCATACCTTTCCCAAGGGTATTAGCATGTAAGTGAATGTAATAGATCTGATTGGAATTCGAACCCTGCTCTCCGATTCCTCAACCTGAGTCGCTATCCATTACTCTGTGCTTCCCTTTTTCACCACAAAATTAAAAAAAAATACATCTGAAGATTTAGACAGGGTAGTGACCTCTAACAGAAAAATGCTTAATTTTACTAGATTTAAGGAAATAATATACTCAGATTTTTTTCTAGTTTTCCTTCTTACAAATGTTACAAAAAAGTTAATTTTAATGTTTTGTTTAGTTTTTAGAAAAGTCTTTTCTTTTGAAAACATTTTTTTTTCCTTGATTCTGTCTTTTACCCTGTAAGATTCATTTAAAAATGTCATTTGTCACAAAGTTTAATTTGACATTTTTCTCTGTTATATTTTTATTCATAACAATAAATATATTAGGAGTAATATCTTTTTCTTTCTAAAAGATAATAAAAAAAGTATGTTGAATGTTAACTTAGTTTCCCATTAAAAAATATAAGCAAATATTTTTATACTACAAAACTAATGAAAAAGTTCTTTATTAAGACCATTGTTTAAGTTAACTTTTCTCGTAAAATTTCTGAAATTTAAACATTTTGAAATAGGCCTCCAGTTCTGGTCATTAGTTGAACCATGAGTAGGCATAGAACGTCATGAAACTGAGTGATTTATAGAGAACAAAATAGATGAGTCAAGAATTTATAAAGAAAATGTTTCATTAACACTAGCTTACTGGAATTATATGAAAACTTTAATAAACATGATAGTTCATTTCTTACCTCCTCTGTTGGAGTAGATATGCATGTGAGCTGAATTATTATTGACAAAGGCATGGATTGGTAGCTTTGACTTTGGATTAATGAAAAAGAGATAATCTTTTCGGAAAAAAATGAATATCCGCCAAAGAAACTGCTTATACTTTATCTATAGAATCAAAACAAGTTGCTTACAAGAGTGCATCTTGCATCTCAACTGAGATGTTTTTGTCAGTAGACACAAGTCAAGAGGAAATTAACGATCTTCTCAGCCAATGCAGGCAATTTTTTTTGGCCAATCAGCTTTTATTATTTATTCAAAAGAATAGAATAACATTTTTGACTGGTTTGTCAAGATGATAAATTCAAAACTCTTCCTCTCATTTTATGTAAGTGTTTTTCTGCACATATAATATCGCATGTTGAGTGCTGATGTTAATAAAATAGTGTTTGATGCAATATAAAAAAGCTATAAATTATATATTAATAGATATTTTGTGATGTTGGACAGCTTCACTTGTCACTTTTGCTATATCAAGTGAAAGCACATTATCACTTCCAAAATACCCGTTATATTCAAGACTTTGTGTATACTGGTACTAGTAGTAACGTCTTCCAATAATATCCACACTAGTAATACTTGTTCAAGTAGTAACCGCCAAATAATATAGTCGGAAGAGAATTGTAATCCGTACAGTAGTAGAGAGAATGAATGTATAGCAATAGTGGATAGTCAAGAACAATGATCGTATAGTCATCATGCTACTTCCTATTTATTCACTTCCTTTATGATCACATGATCTACTTAATAATAGAATTACTCACTAGCAATCTAGTTTCAAACCAATAATATCCACACTAGTAATACTTGTTCAAGTAGTAATAACCAAATAGTATAATGATCAAAAGAGAATCATAATGCGTAGAGTAGAGAGTGAATGTATAGCAATGATAGATAGACAAAAAGAGTGAACAGTGATCGTATAGTCATCATGCTACTTTCTATTTATTTACTTCCTTTATGATAATATGATCTACTTAATAATGGAATCACTCATGTTAATCACTGGCGATCTAGTTTCAAATTGGTGTCGGCAATGACACTTACTCTTATATAACAAAATATTCATTCTTTTTCTCACCAGTAGCATGACTCTGATTTTCATGCACAACTCAATCTTCAGGTGCTGTAGACTGCGTGAAATGATTAAAAAAAAAAAAAAAAAATTTTTACACTTGTGGACCAGCTTCCAGACAGTTATCAAAATTGATGCATCATTTAAGAAACAGCAGCAGGCCACAAAGCATCTGCAGCATAGATTAGAGCAAATGTAGCTGCAGGAGTTGCCACAGAAAATATTAGGAATCCTTTACCTACAGCAGGACTATAGGCACATGTATCTGGAGAAAAACTTCTGGTGATGTGATAATCACCCAGGATCTTGAGTGGTTCAGTGATAAGAACAGATTTTGTCTTCATGCAAGTGATGATCATTTGTGTAGACCTGGGTAGTGACATCTTCTGGGAAATTTTCAGATTAAGCCCAATTGTAATGAAAATTTCCATTCTGGTGTAAATTTGCATGCTTATTTTGAAAATAACAAAAGTTTGAAAGAAAACCACTTAGGAGTTATCGACAATATAAGTTTGGCCTCATTCACGTTGTGGTTACAGCCTAGCTGTCATTACTAGCTGTCATTACTAGCTTTGTTTATGTACGTTTACCTCAATTATTAATGCGTGGAAGTTTCACTTGTCTTGATTACTGTGCAATGCGCAAACTTTAAATTAAATTTTGTGAATTGCACAGTAATAAAGACGAGTAAGAAGATCAGTAAAAAGGCTGTTAATTCTGTAAGCTTCTGCACATTACTACTCGAGACAAACATATGTAAACAACGCCAGTAATGGGCTAGACACGAATAAGACAGAACGTATACTGTTGGTAACTCCTAAAATGATTTTCTTCCACAAACTTTTATTGTTATTTTGGAATTAATCAGGCAATGTCACACCAGAATGGAAATTTTACCCATCTTCCAAACCGCTGGCATCATGGTGAATTTGACATCTCATTTGCACTTGGCATTTGCAGAGAAACATTTTTCTCAGTGTTTATAATATTGTTCGATGTTCAACCCATTCTGTTGCTATTCCTGTATTAATGCCTAAAGAGGAGATATATATGTATATATATGCACACACACAGGTGCATGGCTGCGTGTGTGCACATAAGC